TCAGGAGCCCAAATTGCGGAATCTGAGGCAGTCCTTGCAGAGGATCACCGGCTGCACCACTCGGCCCCAGTTGAGAGCCGGATGAGCCCGCTGCGCCTTCACTGGCGCGTCCAAGGCCTCCAACTCCCACTCCGACAAAGCATCCTCAGCTTTCACAGCTCGCACGTCCCCTCGGCGAGTCAGCACAGCACTTTCCCTCTAACCACAGCAAAGCCACGTGATACACAGACGAGCATGACGAATTCCGCGAAAAAGAGCTTAGGATCGACGGCGCGGACGGCAAGGGGCCTGGAGAAGGCCGCGGACGCAGCACCGGCGTCACGAACCTTCCGCGCAAGGCACGCAAAACTGGGCAATGGAAGCCTTTATGGTACTGCAGATTATGGCATGGCTGCTCGGCGACTAACGCGAAAGCTCGGGCAGTGCTATTGGACATACCACCCAAGCTCAACGGCCATTTGGACTTCAATGCAAGGAGTTTGCAAATATGCTCCCAAGATGGGCAAGTATCACTGTCACGATTCTGAGGATTTGGGGCTGATCCCGCAAATGCGAGGCCTCTGTCGAGACAGAGTCGACCAAAGAGACAAGTTTCTGTTCCGAAAGAGTCTCTCTCCTCCAGAATGTCTGCAGAACTCTTGGCGAACATCCTTTTGTTGAAAGAGCTTCAAGCTGAATCTTCTGCTAAGCAGGGGCCGATCCAGTGCCAGAGTGCCAGCTTTGCAAAAGCTAGGGTAACGGAAAAAGGCGAACCTGCAAGGTACCTGACCCCACTCCCACTGGCCGCTACCAAATAAGCTCAAAGGCCTTTGGGTCCAAACAAAAGATGGGGCACGGGAACAGCTTTGTGGCAGCTACACCAACGAAGGCAAAACTCAGCGTCTGCAAGCTTTCTATGCAACATACACCCCTTTGGGTCAATGCCCACTTCTGGTCGCGAATGGACTGAATCCGATCAGATTCCTGCAAAGAAGCGAAGACCCACTGCTTTGGCACGTCTCCAGCGTCGCCCGCTCCACATCCTCTTGCAGGGCATCAAAGAATTCCTCCAGGGGCTCCTGTCCAGCTGACGGAGGTTCAGGCTCGACATGCGGGAGCAAAACACGCGAAGCATTGCCTCTCAGATTTAATGCTACAAGCAAGCGAGAAGGGCGGTCGGTTCCTCACAGCCCAGTTCTGCATCCGGGAGGCCATTGCCTTCGGGTGCAAACTCGTGTATGAAGCGAAGTGGGGACTTTAGCCGTCTTACCATACAGAAGAGCACCAGCTTCCGGCCTGAGGATGGATCTCCATGGCGGTCCATGGCGTGGGTTTCTGGCCCTTTGACTTTGGGAACGGCCGCCTGTATTTCTCTTCTTGAACTTCTTGAGTTTTGCTCAAACGCTCCATTTGATCCGACAAGTTCAACAAGACGCCCCCACATGCCCCTTTCCAGATCTTCCCAGTGCTGCAAGGTCATGCTAGCTTTGAGGCTCACAACGGTTGAACACGACAGAGCTCGGAGCCAGTGCCAGGTGGATCACCGTCACGCCCATCGAAACCCGGGTGACCTGGACGCAAAAACGCGATGTGGCCAAGCACAGCAACAACTCCCAAAACCGGCTCGCTGCCTTCGGGGCCTGAACTCCAGTAGCATCCAGAAAATAGACGAGTGCCTTCCTGGCGGCTCGAACAGCTCTGCTTTGTTTTTTCACTTTTGAGTCTGCATTTCCACAAACAGGCTGCAGCACAGCAGGAGCAATGGCGTGTCGCTCAGCAAGGATAAGCTGCCAATTCGGGACAAGACCTGCTGCAAAAGAAGGGCACAGCACAATGCGCAAAGAGAAAAGCGCTTACAACGTGCCGATCGTTCCACGTGCTGCCACGATGACCGTTCAGTTGCTCCTTCTTTTTGGGATACGTGTGCAAAGAAGACTTCAAAAAATCGCAATAGAAATCCCGCCCGACAACCTGCACTACTCCCATTCAACATCCGGAATCCGCAACCCATCAGTTTTGGGCTCGAAGCGAAGCCGCAACTTGCTGTTCAACCCCTCGCCCCTGCACTGGTTTCGAGACGCTTGAAATTAGCCCACAACTTCGCAAGCGAGCTGGTTTTATGGGCTTAGACCATGGGCTCTGAACTCGTGAGCAGCTTGCTGCGGAAATCAGCGGTCAACACACGGGCACCAGATCAAGATCAGCGAAGCACAGTGAATCATGACCAGAACGACCAGGACTTGTATCTCCCCCTGTGCCTCGTTCATTTTGCTCGGAGTTCCGAAATGAATATTGAAAAGGTCGACGTCAAACAGCCTCTCTCAAGCTCGCAGCTCACAGTCAAAGGGGTCGTGCCGGACTTGGGTCACTATGCGCTGACATCTACATCTCAAGATGTGATCACAACAAGCTATTGGGCGGTGACCGTGGCCACGCAATTTCACGACCACCGACGGTTATCCTTCGATCTGCAATGATCTGCATAGTTGGAGCCCCGCTAATGCCCATCCAACTTCTGCAGCAGTCGCCACTGGCCGTTCGCTCTTCGGGCAGTCGAGCATGCGCAACCCGCAAGGCATCTCACTGGCATTCTGAATCGAGCGGCAAGTCGCAGCTTGACAATCAGAATACAGTTGTTTCTTTGACCCAAGCGCCGTTCGGCATTCACGTCCGTGTCTTGCTTACAACATTGGGTCAGAGCATCTTATTGAACTGTGCAATTGCACACTTGGAATTTCACCCCGCTCTTGTTCCCGAAAAGATAAGCGTCTGAGCACTTCATCCGGTGCAATCTGCACACGGCCGCATTTGCCGCACTCGCACTGTTCGGATGTGGTCGCAGTTCCGGTTGCGATGAAAAGTTCTACCGGTAGCAACAGTAGCGAAAAATTAATCCGGTGCTACTTGGCGCTGCTGCTGAAGACAATCACGTTCCGCTCGAAGATTCTGGTTCGCGAATCCTTGGACTCGTAGCTGATCCTCAAGTCGCTCCAGTCGGCATTGAGGCACATGAACTTGGTGTTCGGCATCCATCAGCTGTTGGTCCAGCACCACACACGACGCCTTTGACTCTTGGAGCTGCAGCATTCGGGTCATGTGCTCGCCGCACGACTCCGTTGGCCTGCCCCACATGAGCAAATGAACCACTTTGGCTCGAGTGGTTTGAGCTTGTAGAAGGCACACCTTCGCGATGAGATCGAGCCTTGTCGCCGTAAGCCAAAACCCTCCTCGAATTGACATGAACATGGTCACTTCGGCCGCCGTCAGAACATCGTTGTCCTTCCAGCCGCTGGCAATCTCCGCCGGTTTCAGCTTGAGAGCAAAACTTTCCTGGGACATCCGGAAGTCGTCGGGGATGTGCTCCTCGAGGACTGAGCATGGGCTTAAGGGAAGTGTTTGGCGAGTCACTTTCACTTTCCCGATTTTTTCCTGCAGCAGCTGCAGCTGCTTGCTCAGCCACTCCTTCTCGCCACCTGCCCCGCAGTCATCCACGTGAGTGGTGACCAACGATGTAGTCTTGCCTGTGTTGGCATCGCTCCAGTAAAAGAGGTTTTCATCCATGAGCGACGGTGCACCTCCTTGGGCCTCCAAGTCTCCACGTATGTCCACGTAGACATTAAACTGCCAAGCAAGTGGCGCGTCTGACAGTCCGTACACCGGCTTCAGGCAGAAGAGCACGTAGTCGCCGATCCTCGCGAAGTCAATTTTGAACTTCGGGTCGAAAGAGGCAAGATGCCTCCAGACGTTGGCGGGTGCCACAATGGCCACTTTCCGCACGGGCAACTTCACTCCCCTCGCTCGGAGAAGCTCTTTGACTCGCTCAAACGTGAGCCCTTTTGGGAAGGTGGGAGATGTCCCAGCTTTCAGCATCCAGATCGTCGTGCACGAAACCGACAAACGATCCTCTGGGACATGCACAGCCTTGACTTCGCCTTCCTCGATCCATCTGGCACGCGCTTCCACTTCCGAACCCAGACACTGTCGATAATGACGGTGTCTAGAGCTGCTCGAAGTGCTTGGCGGGCCACGTGAAGAGATAAGTCTCTTCTGGTGTTCCGGAACCCCTGTAGAATCCACGGTTCTGGACGTCAGGATATCCCACTGAGCCGGCTGCAAACCTCGGGACCGACCTCACCGAATCTCACCGATTTCTCCTTCGTCCCCAGCCTCTCCGACGTCGGGTCATGACTTTGGGAAGCGCGTCTACGGCTACGGCACAACACACACTAGCACACGCCTCACTGTTCACTCAAAGGCACACCTTTTTTGGACCAGATGCACAGTGGTGTGAGAGGGACCCAGGCAGGGGCCCATCACACACGACACTGCCCACTCACCTCCGTCCCTAGACTCCTAGACGGCCACTTGGGGCCCAGATTGTTTTTTCGGGGCGGGCGGGTGGGTTTTTCTTGTGAGCCGAGGTCGGTTAAGGAAGGGGGCCTCACCATGTGGAGAAGATCGTCCACCGGCTCCGTGGCGTATCCGGATGTTTGGCCGAAGATTCCGAAGATCGTGAGACTTGCCTCTGGACTATCTCGTCACAACATTGGAGGCATCATGCTTGGTCAAGGAGTTCGGCAACTACAACCTCCCTCCGGCTCATGTGGGATATTTTGCTTTTGTGGAGCGGTGGGTCCACTGAGCACTCGAGCCTCGAACACACTGATGATAAGCCTGTCACCATGAAGAAGGTTGCGACCCTGCCAGTCGACCAGGTTTGCCTGCAGAAGCGACGGGCCGCTGCGCACAGCTCGGAGAGGCGAACACATGGTCCGGAAAGGTTCTGACGCTGCATCCATGCCTTCACGTTCTTGGTCGGCGACCACTTTTGGTGTAGAACTTTTTGGGGGGATCGCGCGGTAGTCGTCTCGGGCCTGTCTTCCGACCAACTGTAACTTGGGAAGGTCTCTGAGTCAAGACCACGCTTTGGGACTCCGCAAGCATTGCCACCGGCGACGGTAGTAGCTGCGGCGCAGGTCGCAGTCGAAACTTAGTCACACCAACCCAAAGATTCCCGAGGTCGAAGTTCGGAGTCGAGGCCTTGGTCCAGTCGTCTTCCAAGACTCTGCCAGCAGCGTTCTTTGGGACACAGTGGGTTTCAGTGACCCGCTCGCTCGTCAGCCGTGGGACACTCACTGATCAGTCAACAGCACAGCTGGGCGTAAACAGGATCCTCCTGGCGACCTTGCCGTGTCTGATCATGTACTCGCCGTCTTGGGTCCAGTAGTCTTGTGGCATTCTGGATCGACTCGGAGGACCATCGAGAAAGGGTCTGGCGGTAATGGACCCCGATGCTGACGGCACATTCTCATCTGACATGGACCCCGATGCTGACGGCGCATTCATTTTAATCTGGGCCTCTGTGCTGGTGGAGAAAGTCTCTGGTCTAGAGCTTGCATCTTCCGTTTCTGGCATGATACTCTCCGTGGTAGTGGAGAAAGTCTTTAGACTAGAGCTCGCACTTTTCGTTTCCAGCATCGTGCTCTCTGCGGCGGCGGAGAAAGTCTTTGGACTAGAGCTTTCATCTTTCGTCTCCGGCATGACATTCTCTGCGGTAGTGGAGGATGTCATCTCACGGTAACTGCGCTCATGTTCCCGACGCTGTAGCAGAACGCAATGGCGGACATCGCTCCAACGCTCTTGTATGGCTGACGACCACGGCAACATTTGACCTTCATCTCCTGACCGTGGTCGACCGGGAGCAGGTAGCGACCCGAGTCTGTGAGCAAGATCCTCAGGTACTTCCAGTCATCTCGGCCGTTTCGCAGAACCAGGACTCCGTCGCCATTCTCAAAGCGGTCGGTCAAGATGGCCGAGGACTGTTTGCGCAAAGCCGCATTGCTCAGCAGCACGGGGCAAAGAGAGCCCTCTCCGCCGATAATGTCGGCTGAGAAGGTTCCGAGTCCGATCGCGGTGCCGTTGAACTGCATGCTCCTGGTTCCCCGGCAGACCATGCTCCATCAAGTCTCTGAACGTCTCGCTGCCCACCAGTCCACTGGCAGCACCTGGGTCAAGAAGGAGTCCACGGCGCTTCTCTCCAAGAACCGCATGATATAGCTCAGGGAGTCATTGTAGACGCCGGTCGCAAAAGTGAAGTCGAGCGTCTTGGGCAAGGAGGTAGAGGAAGCTGCTTCGGAGTCCTCTGCGGTTGCCGTTTCTGCCGATTTTGGCTTGACGCCCAGAGTGATCCAACTTGAAGTGCACGACCTTGGTCTTGGGTGGCGTCATGGTCGCCCAGCTTTAACCGAAGCTGCCGACTTTCTGCGACCATTTCCCTGTGCCCTTGCCCTTGCCGAGCCCTTCTTGGACTTCCCTTTCCAGCTGCTGGGGCCTCCAAAGCCCTTCGACTTGCCTTTTCCTTTTCCTCCACCACAGCCGGAGTTAGCTCCCACTGGACAGGAGCTGAAGGAGAATCCCTCCGTCTCCCGGACCGGAGCCGCTTCCCTCAGCGGCCATCTCTGCTCTGTCGTAGCCGCGAAGGTAGAGGAGGGACTCGCCGCGAGGGTACAAGAAGGACTTGACGGGGTCCGGGTAGAAGTGGGAAGCCTCGCTGCTCTCGAGCTCGTGCTCCTTGGTGCTCTTGAAAAGGAGATATTTCTTGCCGAAGCCAGCGGAGACATTGCAGCACTTCAGGTAGCCGCTCGCCTCAGCAAAGTAGGCCGCGAAGCGGGGTTCCTCTCTCGAATTTCGTTGGCTGTTGGACGATGTCCTCCTTGATCAGATACAGTCAAACCAACATGAAGATGTCGAAGACGGTCGTTTTCGGGATGGTGTGGATGACGCCTCCCGAGGAGGCGCAAGGATCCAAAGATCCTTCGGCAGTCCGTGGCGCAGGAGCTAGGCTCCGCTGCCAAACTCAGAATACAGTTGTTTCTCGTCCCAAACGCGCTTCGGCATTCACGTCTTTGTCTTGCAAAAAGATCGGTCAGAGTATCTTAGTGAACTGTACATTTGCACACTTGGAATTTCACAAGGACAATGAAAACTTCGACCTCCGAGAACACATCAACAAGGACATGCGCGAGTGACAAAAGAGTTTCTACACGATGGCATCAGAAGGTAGTTTGTGGCTGTTCGTAGTGTACTCGTCAGCTTCATGTCAGGCGCTACGTCCGGAAATCCAGCATCGATAATCTGACACGAAGGCTTCATCACATCCCGCCACGAATGCGATGATGGACGAGCATGCTGCCGCTTCCGACTCCTAGCTTTGAAAGGCAACCCTGACTGTGCCCTGCCTGCATGTGAAAAGAAAGCATGCTTGAGGATTTGCATACCTGCAAGTGGCTGCAGGACATGCAGCTGTATCCGGCATGTCGCCGTCGATATGGTAACACGAGCCGCTCGCATGGGCAGTGGGAAACCAGCGGACTGCTGGCCGCTCAGGAGGCGGCATCAGAAGGAAAATCACGTGCAGGCCGAGGCCGTGCTTGTGATACCTCGGCCAACACCCGTCTCCAAACCCTCCATGCAGCAGAGCTCAGAAACCAGCCTTTCGAGAGCGACCCAGCCCCGCGCTCGTACCAGGGCATCGAGACCAGGAACTTCCGACGGAACCAGAAGTGCACAGCCCTCGGATGCATGCCGAGTCTAAACATCTCCAGAAATGGCAAACAAAGAGCAGCAGGTCTAGTTGCATTCGCACAACAAAGCCTATACGCAGGTATGGTGGTGCTCTTCATGTGCCAGGTTTGGGGCAGGAAGTTGATGACGATGCCACTCGCAAGACACACCAAGCCCGCCTGGCTGCAGAGCGCAACACTTTATGCCTCCTTAACTTCACGTCGTCTGCACAAAACTTGCCGAACCTCGTAGACTCGCTGCTGGAAATCCCCCAGCGGATTCCTGCGCTTTGTAGAAAACAAATCAAATCAACACCGTGAAGAATCTCGGCCTGTCCGTCCCGATCTTGTAATCGCGTATGCTATTCGAGAAGTTCGGGACAAAACTCACCAGTAGTCGGCGTAACGGAATTTCTTGCTTGCTTATGCCTCTGGCTGCCCCTTGTTCCCTCCCTTTCTGGCGGTCTGACACGTCATGTGCCTCGGTCCGCTTTTGATTGCTTCCTCGCGCTGCTCCCCCTCTGGTCCGGCCTTGCACTCGAGGTAGAGCCAATGGCACTGGCCCGTTCTGTGGAACCAAGTAATGAGAGATATCTCTCAGCCACTGCCACTGCTCAAGTTCAAGTGAGACAACCTCGTTCCACACAGGCAGACTGGCTCGTCTCATGAAGTTACCGAAAAGGTCAGTGGTCAGGTGTCACAATCTTCGAGCAAGCTATGCCATGCAAGACTGCGAGCGCGCATGATCGAGTGTTACTTCTTGGTCATGGCAGCGGAGAGTCCAAGTTCGCAGATCTTCCCAGAAAGCCTGTGTGGCACGAAAACTTTGGTTGCATGGTCGTCTGCTTGTTCAGAGCCATGCAATCCAGTGAAACGGAAGCTTGTTGGAGATAAGGTTGCTTCTGCGCAACACAAGGCAAGCTCAGCAGACCCTTTGCAGCAAGACGGAAAGGACTCTCTGGGGCCAAATTGGAAGTAACTCATTTCCGTATCTCCATCGAAGCAGCATAAAGTGGATCTTACAGATCGGGTCAGCGACGAAACTTCTGCTACTGCTAGAATGATGCTGGCACCAAAGTCTGCTCCAAGAACGATTCAACTTGCTTGTCGCACCAACCACATCAGGATCCAACCTTTATAAGCGGTGACTGGCATATCGATCAAGGATAACATCCGCTCGGTCTCCACTTGCTGACCCTTGGAGCTAACGACTATCCTACAAACGAACTGCGACTTCTTCGTTCGTTGAGACAGTCCCTCAAATAAAGAGAGTAGCAAAGCAACGCTTTGCCCTCGAAGGTGTAGAACGAGGGTTTGAGGGACTGTCACAAAAATGGGGCTTGAGGCCAAGCCGTCCTGCTCTGGGCTGGCGACCACTGCCGCAGACCTCAGTAAACCGATCTTCTTCTGCCACGCATCTTCACATGGCAGGACTTGCTGGCTCCAAGAAGTTGTCTCGCCAGGTGCAGGAACTGCGCCTTCTTGGACCTAGCTCTGCATGGCTCCGGGCACGGCTAGCGCAGGCTTGTCGCCGACACCTACGCAGCGGACCAACAAGCGACGACCCCCTGCGAAAGGCTGGGACTCTCAGACCGATCCTCTGAGTCGCGCCGTGGGCTGCGCATCACCTGCCCGAGAAGGAAAGCGCGGGGTCACAACAGATTCAAGACCGAGCCGCGCCGCATCGACAACGAACTTCCCAACACACCACATAAAGATCAAAAAATATTGGTAACCACAAATAAGAGCCGCCAGAGCATCCACGTGACGCCTTACGATATTGAGATAAGTTTTGTTCGTTTTGACTCGGGAACATGTATGGTAAAAGCCGATGCAGGTAATGTAGGGAAATTTCGTGAAACGGCTCAGCATGCTGGAGTTTACACCCACACTTCTTCCTAATCAAAGTTTGGTTTTATGCGTTGGCAGAGACTCAGAGACAGCGCACTTCAGTTCACCAAGGTGCACACGTGTACGCGAAGCGAAGCTTGCCACTCTACCTTTGACTGAATCAGGTCTTTTCGTCTCATGTTTCTCTCGTTGGCAAAGTTCCGTCCTTGCGCTCAACTTCTAGTCGGGGGACAGCAGTGTGAAGCAACCATGGTCCCCCGTGGTCACGCCAATGCACGTAATGACATGTGGCATGATCAACCCTGCAATGCTTCACAGAAGATTCATTTCCACGACAGGCGAGTACTTCCCCGGTCCAGTGAACATGAATGATAAAATCGAATCGAGCACAGGGCTTACCTTAAGTACCCTCCACCTAGTCCTCCTCCCTGCAGTCGGAAAGTTTGGAGACACCCGTTTTTTGCATTTATTTGCCACTGCCCGGCTTCCCTTCATTTTTCCTGATGTTCTGGCCTCCCCCCCTCATCCCCTCTATTCCTGCTGTGTTTTGCTGTTTGTTTTGCCCTCCCCCCCTTGTCGCACGCTGACTGACATCTGTGGCGCCCCCGCACCTGTTGAATCGTGGGAGTGCTGCTCAAAGAAATCCCAAAACAGCCGTGACCTGAACAGATTTCGTGAGTGATACAGAAGGCTTTGCCGTTTCATCCGGCCCCTGAGGAGCCGAGGCGGGCGGCGTAGCGTTCAAATTATGTTCCAACCGCAACACAAAGCTGCTTCCACAAACTGTACATCACAGCGGTTCGAAAAACAAGATCACACCGACAAGCACGGAATCTATTATATCGTTTCAAGCTAGATATTGGGCTACGAAGGACTGTGGTGTTGATGTGTCAAACACAAGCGTTCCCAGGAAGCCAACGGAAGCCTGAACAGTTTATCCTTTTAAAAAAACCTCGTTTTACATTCATCCCGTTCAAATTTTGAAAGCTGCTCAGGGATTGTGTGCCAACAGAGCCGGCTTTGGAAGATTGGAGGCCGAGAAAAAATGCGTCTCAGCATGACCCGGGCTCCAACAATCGCTCAAAGGGGCCAAGCCTGTAGCGAACGCATGTTCGATGAAGAGCGAAGATCTACTGAAAAAAGTCTCAGGTGAATTTCATCGACGAGTGATTGCTCCATCGGGCCTTCGGACTGAGGACCAAAGGACCAGCTGAAAGGAAGCAGGACGCTTTTTTGACGAGGAGAGAATGCCGCAAGACTTCTCAAGCGCTACGCTTTCAAACGGGAGTTGCTCTGGCTTGGATCGCCAAGGTTGTCTCCAAAGTTCAGCACGTCCTGGCCTCGGGCTCCCTTGTCGACTTGTCCATACCGTCTGTGCGGTCTACATCTGGTGGATCATGTTGCCTGGGTGCTGGGTAAACAAAACTACAGGGATGACACTGACAGAATTTGACAACAAGGCTTTCCAGCGCGATCATAGATCCCTGAGCAATCGGACTTATTTTCCAACTGCTTTCGTAGTCTGCGATATTCAGGCTTCCTTCGAAGTCCCTTTCGTTGAACACTTCGTACAGAAATGTCTTTTGATGTCGTACATCACCTCGGTGGAAACAGACGGCTGCCCATCCATTCTCAATCTCGGCGGTCTTTCGGGAATCCCAACTTTCGGGAATCCCAAGACGGGATCTCTGTATCTCCTGGTCGGTATATCCGTCCATCACGCCTGAAATATGCATCAGCGTGGATGACACTGAAAGAGCAAGATCGTGGGGATCGAGGTAACGTCATAGGTCGGCAAGGTCGGATGATATCGTGAAGTGCTAGAAGAGATGATCGTGGAGGCTTGTCGAGTTGGGAAGTGTTGGAGTTGGCCCGCGCATGTAACGCTTTGAGCGGCGCACGGCCGACTTAAACAGTCTGCCTCTGAGGAAGTTGCACTTGCCCGCCATCTTCCTCGCCTCCTCCGGGGACATGCGATTCGTCGCCGAATGCTCGGCGATCTGTCGGCACATGTGTTGGACCCGCTGGGGAGAGGGTGTCAGAACCAAGTTTTCCGCATCGGAGGAGATGAGCACGCCTTGAGTTCGTTGTTGATTGTCGGGGGGCTGTCGTTTGCTCGGTTTCATCTTGATCTGCAGGCAGCCGTTTTAGTCTTCGAGGTTGTTTGAGGGGAACACCGCACAAACAGTTACAGCAAGGCAAACAGCGTGCAGTCGGACTATTTTACCTTGAGCCAAAAGTGTTCATGATGAGTCATTGTAATGCCGTGTCTGCTTCAACAGACATGTTCTTCCTATCAGCACTACAGGCACATGTAACATGACTGTCCAGACACTGTACAAGAGGGCTTGGGGACATGTGTTTCTTCAACTCCCCCCTTCTGGAAGTTCGTGTCGTGCCAACGTTTGAGGGTAAGTGTCGGAAGCAACAGCGTGACAGGGCAGTTCAGGGAACCTACGGGCCCTACTCAAAGCCTCGACGCACCACGCGTGGGAGGGGGGCGAACGCAGATGGCACATGATGGCACTGCTCACAGGTGGGGCATGTGAAAACCCACATCCCTTAGCAACTGTTGGTCTGGGAAAGGCAAGTTGTTCCATCCGCGAGGAGTGTAAGCAACGAGCACAACCCTTTGTGCTAAGGATCCCGGCCAGGGGACAGTGCAGTGCTTGCGGGAAGGCTTGAACAAGGCTGGAAGGTGGAGGATGCGACCAGGAAGGTTGCGGTTGTACTGGGGGCACTGGGCCTCGCCATCAGGATCTTCGATCCATATTCCTCCGCCGACTCACAACCTGCGTAATTGGAAGTACCAGGTTGTACGAGTCCGGCTCGTTCCACTTGTCGCTGTCGAGCTCGGTCTGTTGACCGCGGAACAAAGCTACTGCCGTGAACGTGTGGTCTCTACGCTGTTGCCTAACGAACCTGGTGAAGACACGAGCGACTTCAGGGAAAAGACGGGTGTTACTTCTGCTTCCAACTATGCCGCTGCCATGCGCGTAAGCGCCAACTGAGAAGCAGTGCGTTTCAGTAGTCTCTGGACCTCTGCGCGCCCCGTCGTGAGGAAGGAGCGTCAGCAAATGCAAAATGTGCTGCTTTTCAACGCAGCGAGGCACCAAGCCCGCAGCCGCACAAGGATCTGCTAACACAAGGGCATCAGCTGAAAGATCTTGGGCTGTAGTTGCCAATGCATTGTCAGTGGCAGGCAAGAGGCACAGCTGACTCACAACAAGAGGCCATTGACATGACCTTCGTAAACCCATTTGCCCTCTGAAGTTTGGTGGACGCGTTCTTCTGCAAGCCTTTCGCACACGGAGGCGACATTAACACGATGAACCCGGTTCATGTGTCGAAGTTTTGCGCTATAGCCTGCCTTGAGGACCGCGAGCACCGTTTCGTTGTCTTGTTGGTAGGACACCGAAACTGCAGCGTCAAGCAGAACCTCGAGGAAGGTCTGTAGGTTCTCGGTCTCAGAGAACATCGGTGTGGCAAGCGCGATCATCTCTGCTTCCGTGGTGCTTCTGGCCGTTGATGATTGTTTCCTAGACAACCAGTGGACAGGGAAGTAAGATTCACCAGTGCGCAGCATTATGATGATGCCGGACGTGCTTTTGGCACTGTACGGGCAAGATGCGAAATCTGCATCCGTAAACACTTCGATGTCGCAGGAAAGGTCGGTTTGCGAAACTGCTCCTCGCAACGTGAGGTGCGTCGTGTGATGGAGATATGAAAATGAAATGCAACGCATCAACTGGCGATCCTCAAATTTGGTCCATTTCGTCACCCTCGACGCTAACCGGGTGATTGCAAAAGACAGGTCAGGCCGGGCAGGGCGACTTAGCTACAGGCCTCGCATAAGAATGCGCGACGCAGCATGATGCAATTCACCTTCTGTCTCCAGGTCGGCATCGGTGAGCTGGTTCTCCGGATAACAAGGTGGCGGAAAGTTACGTAGCTGCGTAGCTTGTCTTTGGTGACGCCGGCGACCTCACAGTAGAAGTCGACGAGCTGTGCTGCGTACGAGCGCATGTCAAACTCACAGGTCGATGGACTCGTGCCTTGCGGCGTTTCACGCAGAAAGCTGTGGTGTCTACCTAAGCTACGACAACCCTTATCACCCGATTCTACGTAGACTTCTGGGTCGAGTTTTACCCTAGACCTCAGCTCGTGCCAGACCTGCTGGTGAAGTTCGGTCGGTCCGCTCAGGGTAAGATCGTCTACATAGACATTGAGTATCAAGGTCTTTCCATTCCGACGGAAGGGTACTCTGGGCATTCTGTGCGGCCGAGTTCGCGCAGGTGTCGCTCTAGGAACAGCTGCCACCTTCGTCCGGATTCCGGATGACCATATAACGATTTACGCAACTGAACGACGAGCTTGGTCCCTGCAGGGAACCTTTGGTGCCATGAAGGCACCCAAAGCTCGGGTGGGATGACCACCCAGGCGCCCTCGCCTATGGAGGCCTGGAGGAAGGCCTGCACACAGTCGGAGCATGAGGTGGGGTTTCCAGGTCTGAGACGGTACCACAGGGTGACCCCCAAACCGACAAAGCCGGTGGGCGTCGTTGCGGTGTCTTCAAAGTAAACCTGGTTCTCGCTGGCGTCAGTCACGTAATCGCCCCTGTAGACGATCCGTCCTTTGTAGCGGTGGTGTTGTGGCCCGAGCTCAAAGTGTTTGATTCCGCACAATGCGAGCAGCTCCGCGACTTTTATTTTCTGACCAGATTCTTTGGATTCTTTTCTGAGTTGCCATAAAGGCCGTACAAAGTCGTCATCCCAAGTCTGGTCGCTACGGAGAACCTCGGCTTCTTTTTGTACCGAGCTAACGCCTTGTACGTCTTTGAGCCACTCGCTCCTGCTCAGGTTTTTCGTGACAAGCGCGTTCGTTGCACACATTGCGGGGACATTGCTGTAAAACAGCTGTGGGTAGAGAGCTTCAATCAAAAGATTGGCACAGTGTGGGGTGTTAAGGCCAGTTCTCGAGGTGACAGAGCAGTCAGCCGTTTCGTGCTCTTGGTCTCCTGAGCTTTGGTGTTGGCCAGACAACTGTAGTACTCTTAGTGACGTAGCAACGTAGTAGAGATAACCCAGTGTTCCATGACGGGGTTCTCTTTCTTCTTACGCCTAAAGAGCAACCGTGAAAGTACACCCTTCTTAAGTTGAACTTCTCTTCAAACTCTAGCCACGACGGTTTTTGCCAAAGCTTGTTGGTCGCAGGCCACTGAAAGCTTACATGACCCCGTGCTCAATCATGTGGGATGCTACTTGGAGAGCAAGACTGAGCATGACACCTGCATGCTGTTGTCGCTTCTTAAGTCTGGCAGTGTACGCTGCACCGTGGCGGTGTTTGTTCATACGCTGCGACGGACAAAAGTCCGTAGAAGGCAAGCTGAAATGACCGCAAGCTCCAGGCTTGAGTTGGCCAATAACTTGCTCAACGTGGGTTGGCTCAGCGAGGTCGAGCATGGACGTTGTGAGCCTCAAGCAGTCTACACGGTGATTTGCTGCTGCAAGGCCGATTTCGCTGTCGTCTTCACAGCAGTACTCGACGAGTTGGTTCTTTCCGGGCAAAGCCTCAGACCTGCAGGAGCGGCGCAGTGAGTGGTCACGTTCCAAGAAACTTCGGTCTGGCACTGTCCGGGCAGTGGGAAGGTGGCCAGGCGCAGGCTCGGGGGCATGTCTGCGCTGTCGGTCCGCCGATTGGCGCTGAACCGTCGTCGTCGGATGGTTCGTAGTCAGAGAGATGGTTTTGCAAATGGGACTGTGGACGCCTTTTCAATAGGCCCACATTGGGAGCACAGGCTCGCCCCCAGGAACGTGGAGTTCTTCATGTGGGACAGAGATTGGAAGGGATGCACCTGCTGAGTCGTCTTTGATGCGCTTGTAGTCTAAGACGAGGTAAACACCCTTGTAGGATTCTGGTCCACTATCGAGGCGCCAGCCGGCAAACAAGCTGGGAGCAGCAGACGGATCGAACTTCCCTCTGTGAGATGGGTCAGTCCGATAGAAGACAAGTTGGCCAAGCAACAGGCGGCGACCGGGAAACTCAGAACCAACAGCAGCGACGTAGCGAGTGTGTTCAGCATCTTTGAGCTTGTGCTTCAGGTTGAGCACGAAAGCGGTTTAGACACAACTGTGAGGCCACAGACCGGGTCTGATTTGGAAGCCAGATTGCAAGTGAACTGCACGCGCTACTTCCGTAAGGTCCTAATATCCCTTTCTAGAACGCTATTATGCGGCCAGCGGTTTGCCAGGGTGGGTTCACTCACCCAGCCTAACTGTTGGCAGGCGGCCTCGAGTTCTTGTGCATGGTCACTCTTGAACATGATCATCGGCTTCTTCACGTGTCGGCCAATGAACTGCAGCAAGCCCTTCACAACGTTCTCAGTGTTCCGTTGAGTGAGAGGGAAAGCTCGTAAGTAACCAGAAAACTCGTCCATTACCACAAGCACCGTGGATTCCGCAGCAACGTTGGAGAGACTTCCAGCTTCGCTGCCGTCCTTTGGCTTCGGCTTAGTTTTGACAACGATTATCACTTCCGCAGCAGCGCGCTCCCCTAACTCTTCTACTTCAGGAAGAGCCCCGCGGTCAGCCAAAGGGTCGCGCCTAAGTTTCTCGACCTTCTTGCGATACATACGGGATTGTGAACAGATGTGACAAGCTGGATTCTTGGGGAAGTGTGACAGGCGATGATCCAAGGAGGCAGCCTCACGCACGAGGCGTACATCTTTGGAGAGGGGTTCTTCTCCATCATCAGAGTCTCCTTGTGCTGCTTCATCTTTTGAAGGCTCGGCGCCGCGCGCAGATCCTTCATCAAGGACTCGACTGGCAGGCTCGGCAGAGCCCTCACCAGGAGGTGGCAAAGGGGACGACGCGGACCTGTCAGTTGGGGCGCGTGCGGCAACAGCGAAGGACACTTGTTCGTTGAAAACAGGCACATTTCCTTCAACACGATCGGCAAACAGGGCCCCACTAAGGTCTGTTTGCACGTGGTTGCTGGATTTGAGAAAGCAGGGCAACTGACCAGGAAGCCATAGGAAAGGCAACTGGCCACCGTTTACTATCTCACCCATTTAGGTATGCTGTGTTCTGGCCAAAGTCTTGGCCCTCACAGGTCAAAAATTCATGCGACGTGACAACGCCATTACCGGTGGAGAAGTGGATCGGCTGTTCGGCCTGAAAGGCTTGCAGGCCCACATCAGGCGGGATCCCTTGGCGCTGAAGCGGTTTGAGGGACGTCAAGTTTCGACCGGCTCCAGAATCAGCGATCCACGCGAGCTGAAAAGGACCTGTCTGGTATCCTGGCAATGCTATCTCTGTAACCCTTGGCAGGACAGCTGGTAAGGCATGGCTACAGACAGAGAGCGAACCGACAACGGTGCGGAACAGGTGGCTCAGTCCCGATCTTTTCCAAAAGCTTGTCGCACTCGGTGTGGGACGTCCATCGACCGAGATACCTTGAGCCGTAGTGGGAAGCATCAGGGCGACATCGCTGTGTGTTCATTTTTATGTGTTTCAGCACATTCCGTTCCCATTGGTCTCTGTGTCTAGATTCCTTTTGCAGGATTTCTGGACTGTATTGAGTCGGAACTTCATGGCACTCTTGACCCCAGATAAGCCAGTCCCGATTGTGCGTCAGGGCACTTTGGTCTATTTGACTCCAACTATTGTCCCGTTTGCTCAGTCTGATTGTCAGTACAACGAACTTCAGATTGCAGCTGTCATGGCAGAGATGGACTTGGGAGGTGGCGACATTGCACTTCGAGGCATCACTGAGGATGAGTATGATCACATTGCTCAGATTCATTCGTTGATTGCTGCAGCTAAAGCCAAAGCCAAAACCAAACCCAAGCCCAAAACATTGCCTAAGTCAGCCGCGAAAGCCAAAGCTGATCCGAAAGCAGCCCCCAAACGAGAACATTTCAAGAACACTAACTATTGGGTCATCAACGAAGACAAGAACGTATTGGTTCGTTTTCATGTGAAACCACGCCAGTACCTGATGGGATTCAGATACCTCCGAGGTACATTGCCTGTTGATGAAAAGCGATTGACAGGCGAGAGAGAAACGGAGCGCCATTTTAAGGATGGCACATCTGATGTGATTGTTGACAAGGACTTCAGGGGATTGGACGATGATAAGGTGGATCCTCGCGTTCAGCCAGACCCTGAGAACATTGTTTCGCGGCGAGGTCGTACGGTCTTCAAGATGAGACCATTGGCAGGTAAAGCATTGGAAGAAGCGAAAAAGGTTGCATTGCAGTATCAAGGACCACCTACAACTGCATTGCAAACCAACCGCTTCCGATTGTCACAACCTCCGCCTCCTCCAGCTACCGAGATAGTCCCGTCATTGCCCCCACCCGCCCAACCCGCGTTTTCGTCCCTTGATGTCTCCAACCGAGGAACCGAAGGAAGGATTGACCGACAAACATTGTTATGACAGAAACCGAACGACACATCATGAACAGATTGCGGTCAACAAAAGATTTTAACTCCAACATGAAGGAATTGATTGTGCGGTTGTTCTACACCAAGGATCCTCAGACCGATGAGGTCCGTACTACGGATCATTGGATTCAAACGCCCACTCATTGGATAAGGATGGTGCATTCTGAACGAGATTCCCTCATTCATCCTGACAGGTGTCCCTCTCCATCGTCGTCAGCAGATCCATACGAGTTTGGAAACCTGCTGATTGCAAATAGGTACATGTGCGTTCTGGATTGTTCCGATCCTGAGAAGAACGGTCTTGAGATTGAGGACCATTGGTGCAACTACACAGATTCTTCAGGAACTGGTAAGTCTCCGGAAGAAGATCCTGATAGGAAATTGGGATTTCGATGGTCTGGATTCGCGGTCTTTGAGATTGCAAGCCCCATGGAAATTGATCATCCTATCCCTGAGACTATTGATGTCACTGCGAGACCCCCTAAAGGATTGAGGGTCCCGTCAGAGCCTTCAGCAGCTGAACGCCGCCAGCATGAATTGACACATTTGCCTTACAGAGAATGGTGTCCACATTGTGTG